GAAAGAGAAGAGATCTCATGAGTAAAGCAGCCTGGATCGTATGCTCCTGAGGACATTACAAATGGACGCTAAGAATGAACATTAAAATAGACATGACTTAGCAATGGACTAACAGGTTGTCTTTTGACATCGTCACCCTCTCTGTGAAAACATCCTACTGTCCCTAAGCATTGGTCCTTTATATTCATGAATCACATGTTTTGATAGTTAGTTGTTGGTATGTCACTTTCCTCAGCTCACACAGGCGTGAACTGCTCAGAACAGGATCTGATCAGGCCTAGTTTTGCCATACTTAGCTGGAGGTCTGGTATAAGATGATGAACATATTTTTTAAAAATAAATACATTTTAAAAGAATAAGAAGTTAGCTCAAATGTCATTTTAATCTTTATTCATGTTTTCCTCTTATGCTTTATAGCTATTTAAATGACGAGGATTTATATACCCTGATGGTTTCTGGTGGCAGGAAGGGGAGAGTTGCTGAAATAAGTTGGTCTTTTTCAGAATAAAGACCAAGTTTTATATCCTCCTTATTTTTAGAACATATGAATAGATAACAACCTCCCCAAAAGCAGACTTTTTATGTTTGGTTACTTTTAACATTTCTAGAGCCTAGGACACTACCTGGCACATAGCAGGTGCTCAATAAATATTTGTTGGATAAGTGAGTGAATGAAGATGGACCCGCTTATGAAAGGAGAGCTCTTCCACATGTTTATCATAAGCGCTGGACTGAAGTTTCATTTCCTCATAGAGGGTGATCTCAGAACCTGGGAAGGTCTGGGCAGAGATATAGCTGTGGTCTCTGTGGGTATAAGTAGCCTGTAAGTCCAAAGTAGTTAGAAACCTTTAAAAGCGACCCAGAATAAGCTACTTCCAACTGCAATAGAGTAGTAATCTTGGTTCCTGGTGACTAGAAAATGAGACTTATTTCAAATTTCAGCCATTGACTGTATAGCCATCAAAGGGGAAATCTCTGTCCTCTGAGTGTCGAATCCAGTGGTTCTCAACCTTCCTAAGGCCGCGACCCTTTAATACAGTTCCTCATGTTGTGGTGACCCCCAATTTCATTGTTACAAATTGAACATAATTAAAGCATAGCAATTAATCACAAAAACAATATGTAATTTTATATATGTTTTCCGATGGTCTTACGACCCCTGTGAAAGGGTCATTTGACACCCAAAGGGGTCGCGACCCACAGGTTGAGAACTGCTGTTCTAATCAGTACTGCTTAAGGTTATACTCGTTTAATTCTCTCAACCAAGACAGAGAAGCATTCTTATCCCCATATGACAGATGAGCCACCTGAGGTTCAGAGATGTCAGCTACACAGCCCAAAACTATACTGCTATTAAATGAGAGAAGTAAATACCTCTTCTATTTAGTAGGGGAGGGTTAGGGGTTGAGGGTTAGAAAATCCACTTTAAACATGAGCTTATTTACATGCTCCAACTGAAAAAAATACTCAGCAGTTAGTCTCAAAGACATCAGGGCAAGCGACCACTTTCAGTCTCTGTGCCACACTCCACCCGTGCACGTGGGAGGGCCTAAGAAGCCTATGCCACACACCACCCGTGCACGTGGAAGGGTCTAAGAAGCCTATGCCACACACCACCCGTGCACGTGGAAGGGTCTAAGAAGCCTATGCCACCCACCACCCGTGCACGTGGGAGGGCCTAAGAAGCCTATGCCACCCACCACCCGTGCATGTGGGAGGGTCTAAGCCTATGCCACCCATCACCAGTGCACATGGGTGGTTTAGCCATATCCTTGCTCAGAGTGAGAGTCACGGTGTTTCACTCAGGGTCTCTGTTATCCTGTTGCAGGAATGAGCTGAACGGGAGAGGGGAGTGGGTTCTAAGCTCCCAGCTCAGGGTTGAGAGCTGGGCGGTGGAAGACTTCCTATGGTTCGGTGGGGAAGGCAAGCAGAGTCCCTACCATTTGTAAAGTGAAGGAAGGGAAAGTTTCCGTTAATTTTTTAATTAATTTTTGTTTTTCTACCTCAGTTAACACATACCTTGTCCAGGAAACTCATCCCTGCCAAATATAAATAGCTTATATCCACACTGCCTCTCCAGCACCTCGGGCAGAGCCCTCAGAACCAGCGTGTCCACATCAGAGCTCCGGCAGTCGCGGGGAGGCTTGGGGTACAAGACGTATGCATCATACAGCTTCCCATCTGAAAGAGAAACGTGGTGAGCTCATGGAACGAATCCTACCAAGTCCTTTCCACATGAACGAGGTGGAAATCGGAGTTGCTATCACGCTGTCCTCTTCGCTCAGGTATGATGGCTTCAGAGTGCCCACCTGGCTGACTTGGTGCCAAGCATTGCTGCTCTCAGCATCACATTCCTTTAACACTTAAATATTTCACTCCACTGGCTTCTTGCTTGCATGGTGTCTGAGAAGTTGAGCATAATTTCTATCTTTGCTTCTCTATGGTTAAGGTGACTTTTTGCCTCTGGCTTCTTTTGGGATATTTTTTCTTATCTTTGATTTTCTGTAGTTTGAAAATAATGTGCCTAGGTGTATGTGAGTTTTTTTGTGGGTTTTTAAAAATATTTACCATATTTGGTGTTCTCTGAACTTCCTGGATTTGTGGCTTAGTGTCTAACATTAATTGGGGGAAATTCTCAGTCATTACTGTTTCAAACATATCTCTTCCTTTCTCTCTTTCTCCTCATTCTGGGACTGTCTTTAGACTTTACCCCTTCTGTGGTTGCACCACAGCCATTTTATGTTTAGTTTAGTTTTGTTTTGTTTTACAGTCTTTGTTCTCTTCACTTTTCAGTTTGGGGAGTTTTCACTTAGTTATCCTCAAGCTCAGAGACTCTGCTGGGCCATGGCCTATCTAACAAGCCCATCAGAGGCAGCCTTCATTTTTGTTATACTACCCCCTGTGGTGCAGCTGAAAAGAAGAATTGGAAGCAAGAGTCTCCATCAACATCACTGTTGATGGGTCCTGTGCAACAGAATGCTGTTCTAACGGCACCAGGTGAAGTGGGCCAAATCCTCACAATGTAGCTCTACCAGTGAATCCCATCATTGACACTGCACACTACTCTACAAGGAAACCAAACAGCAGACTCTAGGAATTGGCTGTGTCATGCTAAGAACTCAAACACCATTGCACATCATCATGTCAGAGTGAGCCAGTGTATACTGACCAGCCACAGGCCACAGCCACTGTGCTCACAGTGTACAGATGAACAAGACCCAGATATATAAGCAGAAGGCCACTCATGAATGTAGAAATAAACAGCATGCAGCACTGTAAGTTAGCAAATGGCTGAGTGAACAGAAGAGACCCAACAGTTCTCTTAAAGGGCCAGGTACACAAAGTTACACAGTTCCTCTTCTCCAGTTCTGGGTAGCAGCTTTGGGGAATCCAGGGACATATGGGGAGCAACTGGATTATCTGGCATCAGGGCAGGAACTCAGGGGTGGCTCTGTCGCAGACAGGAGTGCTCATAGGTGCCATTGTCCCCCATCCCATCCCAGAGCTGACTGGCAGCCATATCTGAGTTTCCATCAGCACGGCCCACACGTTTTGCCCCACCCTGGTGATTCCCTGAGACCCTGTCCCATCCAAATTGCAGCCCCACTCAAGCTGTTTGCAGAGGCTTTTCCATATGAATGGCCTGTCCTGGCTCAGGCTTCAGACTTTGCTAAAATTTCTCAAACAAGCATAAGGCCCAAGACCTGGCACTAGCACCAGCCTGCCCTGCTTCACAGCTTGGCCTTGCCTGGGCACTTCCAAGCCTAATACAAGTAGCAGCCATTGCAGATCTCTCTGTAGCTCCTGAGGGATGGCCCAGGCAGTGGCTGAATTTGTACTTCCCAGGAGGCCCTAGAGCCAATGCACCCAGTGGGCAGCTTCAGACCACACCAGATTACAACTGTACACATCCACAAGCAACACACTCAAGGAGAAGACTCAGTGAGCACCAAAGCCCCACTGAAGCATGTCCTGCTTCATAAGGGTGTCTCCTGCACAGCAGCTTTTCCACTATAGTCACAGCTGGTCCTCACAGCCAATTGGCCTAGAAGTCAACTCCTCCCAGTGACGCCAACAGCAATCAAGGCTCAACTACAAGACTGTGTGCACAGCCCACACAGGGGCACACCTAGAGTGCCCAACTCAGGTGACTGGGGAGGCTGAGTCACTGGGCCCTACAGGACAACTACTACACAAGGCCACTCTACCAATTCCAGGAGACATAGCAGCACTACCTAATACATAGAAACAAATACAGGGAAGCAGCCAAAATTGGAGACAAAGGAACATATCACTAATGAAAGAACAGAAGAAATCTCCAGAAAAAGAAGTAAATGAAGTAAAAGCAAGCAAATTACTAGATACAGAGATCAAAAATATGGTTATGTTACTCAAGGACATTCATGAAAGCTTCAAGGGACTTAGTGAGACTTTCAAGAATCCTAGTGAGAATTTCAGACATGGAAAAGAACCAGTCAGAAATTAAGCATACACTGACTAAAATAAAGAATAATTTACAGGGAGTCAACAGTAGAGTACAGGATTATGAGAATCAAATCAGTGATTTGGAATATGAGGAAGAAGAAAACAAGACACACTGAAACAGAACAGCAAAAAGAAAAATGAATACAAAAATATGAAGAGAGTGTAAAGAGCCTCTGGGACAACTTCAAGCTTACTAACATTTGATTATGGGAGTGCCAGAAGGAGAAGTGAGAGAGCAAGATATTGAAAACCTATTTGAAGTACCATATATTTGCCGGCGTATAAGACGACTGGGCGTATAAGACGACCCCCTAACATTTCCACTCAAAATACAGAGTTTGTTATATACTCGCCATATAAGACTACCCCCTCTTCCGCACACCTTCCACACACCAAATAAAAGGTAAAACAATATCAGATTTGATTTTAACATTTTAATTTATATTCAAATGCTTATGACATGCAGGAAAACTGTCACAAGGCTGTATGTAATCAAACATACACATAAAACAGTGCAAGTTTATTACCGGCAAACATACCGGTAATTCACTAAAGAAAACACACTCTATAGACTGGTACCGTAGATGCTTCTCAGGAACACAGGCAAGCAGCCCACAACCTAGAGGGACTGTCAATGATAGAAGTAAGATAACAAATAGAGGGAGAGAGCAAGTGCCGGGCAAGTCCCTAGCAAGTTTGCTGGCGTGACAGTTTCACCTTAAAAGCCTTCAAGCTCCTCTTCATCATCTGATATTAAAAATTCATCAACGACATCTTGGTGCCATGATAGGGATGATAGGGGTTTGACTGGTCGACATTTTCTATGCTGTACTGTACAATGGGGCAGTATTGTGGTTGGCTGTTGGCTGTATACAAAGCCTGATTTGATTGGTCCCTGCTCCCTGTTTGCCCGCCCTGTCACTATAGCAGTCTGGTCCACCCTTGCATCAGCATCTCCCTGGGACCTCACTAGTGCGCAAGTGCGAGCTCTTCAACATTCTAACAGGCACCATGATAGCGCAAAATCGCGAATCTTCAATGCATATGTAAAGAAATATACGGTAACCCGAATTTACCACACTCGCAAAATCGCACACAGCCAACCATACACCCAGTATGGTATCGCGATTCGCGATTTTGCACTATCATACTGGGTGTATGGTCGGCTGTGTGCGATTTTGCAAGTGTGGTACAATTGCATAACAGCAAAATCGCATAACAGCCGAGCATACACCCAGCAGCGCTGCTGATGCCTGAATGGTATGTGGAATGAAGTGGGCGGGCATCGGGAGGCCACTATGGCACGGGGCAAGCACTATGGGCAGTCTATCTGAAGTGTACCTGGCGTATAAGACGACCCCCCACTTGGAGGCATATTTTTCAAGGCCAAAAAATCGTCTTATACGCCGGCAAATACGGTAATAATGGTGGAAAACTCCCTCTACTGGTGAAAGAAATAGACTTACAAGTCCAGGAAGCACAGAAAGTCCCAAATAAGAGGAACCCATAAAGGACCACAACAAGACACATCATAATTAAAATGCCAGGGCTAAAGACAAAGAGAGAATCTTAAAAGCAGCAAGAGAAAAGCAGTTAGTTACCTAAAAGGGAGAGCCCATATAAAAGACAAAGAGAGAATCTTAAAAGTAGCAAGAGAAAAAACAGTTAGTTACCTACAAGGGAGTACCCATACGACTGTCAGCTGATTTCTCAACAGAAACTATGGAGGCCAGAAAGGAGTGGCAAGAAATATTCAAAGTGATGAATAGAAAGAACCTACAACCAAGATTACTTTATCCAGCAAAGCTATAATTTAGAATTGAAGGTCAGATAAAGACCCTCACAGACAAAAAAAAGCTAAAGGAGTTCTTCATCACCAAACTAGTATTACATGAAATATTGAGG